ATGATGATTATAATTGTGCAATTTTAGAACATTTGCTACGACTCACTTTCAACCGGTGTTTGCGCGCAGATCATTTCCCTGCTTCGACGAACCGGCACTTAAAGCAAATTTCAACCTTGTCGTAAAACGACCCAGCAGTAGTTACATATCGGTGGCCAATACTCCGAGAGATGAACGGTTGTCTAATGGTCTAACAGACGTGTTTGAAGAAACCGTTTCAATGTCGACCTACCTACTCGCTTTCATCGTAACCGACATGCAATATTCTGAGACATTTGGTCGTCATCGAGTGTTAGCACCAAAATTCGAACTTGAGCAAGGTCGGCACAGGTATTCTTTAAACAGCAGTTATTACCTTCTCAATGAAATGGAAAAATATACGGAAATTCCGTACGTTTTTAAAAAGTTGGACCACGCTTCCATTCCGAAGGACTATTCGTCTGGCCTTGCAATGGAAAATTGGGGACTTATAACTTATAGGTATTTTTGTAGACGATACGATAAGGTTTTTTAACGATTATTTATGCAGGGATGATGTCTTGTTAACATCATCGAATGCTGACATATCCCAGAAGCGACAAGCACTAAGTACAGTTGCTCATGAAATTCAACATCAGTGGATTGGTAACCTAGTTACTCCAGATTGGTGGAGCTACATTTGGTTGAATGAAGGGTTTGCAAATTACTTTGAGAATTACCTAGCAGACAAGGTAAGAGTGATCAATTTTATGAATCCTAATTGGTGCATTGATAGATTGAACCTGGTATGGATATTTGGAAGAGATTCATTATTCTAACTGGTCAGACTACAATGTTGTTTGACAGTATTCCGGAATACACCAGGCCGATGACTGTAACAGTGGAAGAATCCTATAAGATACCTTTCCTTTTTGATAAAACTGCATACCAAAAATGTGAGTAATAAAGGTTTAACAATACCAAACTAATTTCTTTAACCTTTAGCTGGCGCAGTGATAAGAATGTTGGAAAACATGGTTTCGCGAAAAGTTTTCCGACAAGGTTTAATTTACTACTTGAAGGAGAAACAATTTCAAACGGTAACACCCCGTGACCTTTACAGAAATATTCAACGAGTCCTAGATGAATCTTCTGAAAACGTTTTTCCACAACCATTGACGGTTGAAAGTGTAATGACAACCTGGGAAACGATCGCTGGCTTTCCACTTGTAACAGTTACAAGAAATTACGGTAGCACCATAAATAACATCAATCTCAAACAGGTATGCTTTGTTATATCACAGATTTAAGAGTGTTTAGATCTGTGGTTATATCTCTAACGGTGATTCTTATTAGTGGAAGTATTTCAGAGGGCGTTTAATATATACAACAACCAGGGTGAGGATGGACGCTGGACGATACCAATTAATTACGCTAGCAAGGGGAGTGCCTCGTTTGAGAGCACTGCTCCGAAAAAATGGCTCATACATCCAACAGATACATTTACAGTCGCAGATTTAGACGATAGGGATTGGTTCATAGTGAACGTACAGCAAAGTGGATATTATCGAGTTAACTACGATGAAAGAAACTGGGCTCTAATTGCCGATGCACTAAAAGAAGACCATCGTGTAATTCACCCACTGAACAGAGCAAAGTTGTTAGAGGATAGTTTTTATTTAGGGGCAACAGGAGATATTTCTCCCAATATATTTTCTAAATTATCAGAATATCTGGTAAATGAAGATGATTCGTTAGTGTTAGCTGCCCTTCCTGCGCTTTTCGCCAGTATGGATAATAAGCTTTATTATTCAAGAGGACACGATGACTTTAAGGTATCAGTATCAATAGTAATCTTGAATCTTAGTTTCTCTTTCTAGGATCGTGTTATTTATCTTCTTCAAGGTGCATATAATCATTTGACATTCGACGAAAGGTTAAGTGACAGACTTAGTGAAAAAGAGGCGCGCGCCGGTGTTATATTTTGGTTGTGTAAAATGGGACACATGGAATGTCGAAGCAAGGCATTGGAAAAATTTGAGGCATGGAAAAATGAGAATGCGACTATTTCAACCGATTTGGAATCTGCAGTATTTTGCAGCGCCATGCGTAGCAATAACCAAAGCCACTTCGATTACTTATTTAAACTATTTATTGAAACGACCGACTATGATTTGAAGAGCCGCATTGCGTCTGGTTTAAGCTGTATGGAGGAACATAAATATTTGCAACGGTACCGTGGGATGTAAATTTACCGATAGTAATTTGTTTATTTTAGATTTTTAGAAAATTGTTTGAATTACTGTCCATCAGCATTACTAGAACAGGTCATTAAGCAAATGCACAGCAGTAGCAAGCATGGGTTAGAAGTAGTGTTAGATTTTCTTTCCCAAAACATGGAGAAAGTTCATAAAATGTAAGTACTTAATAATTCGAAAGAAAAGTAGGTAAACACAGTGTTTTAGCTTTGGTGGTCACACAAAGTTTATGGTTGAAGAGCTTGCCAGTCAATCCTACACCGATGGGCATCTGAGAAAGGTATTGTTTTATTTATTCACTACTAAATACTAATTCAAAGAAAAATTGCAGTTAGCAAGGTCGCAGTTATGGGCAAAGTCAGTCCCCTTTTTCGATAGAGCTGTAGCAACGATAGCCAATAATGTTGCATGGCTGAATAAAAATGAACACAAGTTGTTGGAATTTTTAACACATTCACAATAAAACATGTTCTGTTGGATTTATTACGGAATATTATCTTGTTTTGAAATACTGGGAATTTTTAACGCATTTTTTAGTAATGTAGATTTGTTAAAATTTAAAGAAATTAGGTATAATTTAATTTTATTGAAAATAAACAGGTTGATCCTCTTTACAACCTCAGCAGGGGACATAATTTAGAGTGTACCTATCAAATTTGATTGAGCTTTTTTGTGATCCGGTCAAGAATTTCAGCTGGTTTTTTTAAGTTTTCAGTAGGTATTGGGGGAGTTGTGCGTGCGAAAATTCTGGGAACCGTGGGAAAATATTTCGGCAGTTGACCCGGGTCAAATTTTGGCAATTAGATATCTGGACCCAGCAACTTAAATGTTGGACCCGACCCTTTAACGTCATCGCTGAATTTTTTCTATTGGTGTTGGGATTCGAACCCACGACAGCTGAAATAGAAGGCTAAGGGCCGGTATTATAAAAGTACAGTTCAAGCGGAGATTGATCAAACGGCGATTGAACGTGAAACCAAGATTGAGAGCGGTTGCGTACTATAAACACCTTTGGAAGAGCGTTTGGTTAATCTCCGTTTGAGTTTACGATCCCTAGTATGGTAACACTGCGGGCGAACCGAGGACCAATCAGAGCGCAGAATTTTTAGTGGCCGATGCGTCAGCTGACAGCTGATGGCGTTTACATTCTTCGCACCCATCGCGGCCGCGCCGCTCGTTCTTTTCGCTTCATTTGCCCCTGCCACTGTCACTGTGCTGATCTGTTCATCTCCTTGCTAAATCGTTTCACATAGCGCTGTTTTGCCTGCCGCTGTGCCAATGATAGACAAGGGAAAAAAAGCGAGTCGATTTTACTGACGCGGACGCCCATCAGCAAGCGGACTGCGTTCACTCATATTTTCATATAATTGAAAATAAACGGACGGACGCCTCTACTACCAAGAACAAGGTAAAGCATCAGGATATCATCATTTGTACGTTTTTTGTTTGCATCTATACCCCTAATCATTCTGTGTTTATACACCCTCGTATGGAAGAAAATTGCAAAGAAGTATAACGCTACATCAACTGAATCACGCACTGAACACAAAATATCATCTAGCACAGTGAAAAACCTCACTGGTACTGAAGCTGGAGCTGGTGACGACAGCCTCACCATTGATGGGCAATTTGCATAGATGTGCCCCAATCTTGTTTTATAGGGATCTAACAGTAGGTACTTATCCTTGAACAACCGAAATCTCTGCCGAAATTCCTATTCATCCCACTTGCCGAAATGATCAACACGTTCTCTAAAATTTCTGCTCTTCTTCTAATGAACTCGTCCTCTGACGAAGAGTCATCGTCGCTTACTGCCCACGTCCAGTAATCGACTCCTTGCACGTCCAATTCAAATTATTTCCATTTCGTTATAAATAGAAACAATGACACAAAACAAAATAAACTGGTTACGATAATCTTAATTGTTTACATGTTCGCGCGCCTGATCTCCGTTTGGGCATTAAAACCCGAGAAAATTGGCGGGTTGACTACAATCGGAGATTGAGCTCTGGTTACGACTCAAGCGGTGTTTATAATAATAATAATAATGACATTTATTGAGCACACACCATACAAAGAACAGATATTATACATTACATTACATAATGGGTGACTCAATAGGGCGAAGTTCAGACTGGAATAAACCGTGTTATTCCGTCTGCTCTACCACTCAACCCCCTACATATGAAATTAACAACAAGAGACCAAGACATAAAAAAACCTAGCAAGAAAAAACTATATGATAATAAAAACCATTCAGTATGAAGGCACAAATGAAAACCTAAAAAGAAAAAAAAAAATGTAAAAAGAAAAAAAAAATTATAGCAATAATGATATTAACGATGGAACTTAATGCTGCCTTGCAAGGAGTATGAGGCGCAAGCGTTTTTTAAAAAGACTTTCGGATAAATGTTTTAAATGAGATGGTAATTCATTATACGTCTTTGCAATATTGTAACTGAAGGAGCGTTTAAATAGTGACGTTTTGTGAGTAGGTATAGTTATAAAAAACCGATCTCTAACATTGACATTATGGACGTCAGCTCTGTATGTTACCTTTTCAAATAAATATGACGGAGTTTTGGTTTGAAGTATGCCATGGAACAAACAGGCAGAATGTAATATTCTTCTGTTTTTCATATCAAGCCACTGGAGGGATTTTAATTTATGTGTAATCCGGTCGTATTTTCGGATACCAAATATTAGTCTAAGGCAAGAATTCTGCATTCTCTGAATTCGATTGTAGTCTCTTTTGTCGATACATGGGCCATACACACTATTACAATAGTTAAATTGGGAAAGCACTAAGGATTCACAAAGCATAACCTTAATACTACGATTAATAAGAAATCGGCTATTAAATATTAGTTTAATATTTGTATACTTTGTTTCAAGGGTGCTGAACCTTTCGTCACACTATCTGACGTCATAGCAAAATTAAGGCAGGTCGTAAATTAGTAGTTGGTTTACATATTGTCACATTGACGTTTCAACTTATTTATTAAGGTGTCACTATCGTTCATCATTATTAGACCGCCCAAGTTGACAATCACTTGTAGGTTTTATACCTAATGGTTAAATGGTCATGTATTTTATGTAGAGGAAGTCCGTTGGTATGAATTAAACCTTTTCCACCGTTTGTAATCACCTCATGTAACCGATTCTTCGCACCGACAATCCAAATGGATACTGCCAGAGCATCCGAAACTCTTTGAGATGAAGTGTATGATGGTTACAGAAAACGCATATGAACATTTGTAACTTAAAGTTTGTTTTGGCAGTTCGTAAATTAATATTTTGTTTACATAATGTTGATGTGAAATTAAGTATGCTACCAATGTGAAGAATACGCGTTAAGTTGCGCGAATTTTAATGACCCTTAACTAGCCATTTGCAGAAGTAGAATAGGCCATGGTTTATCGGTAAGCCTTTTGCATTTATACATCTTACAAATTTGAGATAAAGCGTAGTCATTATACCACTGGCTCATTGAAATAACAACGCATACATACAGTTTCTGTTCTTTTGCCACACAGTCGAGATATTCGCATAAGGATCTTGAATATCTTCTGATCCGATTTATTTAAAAAAAAAACGCAATTGTGAGAGAAAACGGGTAGTGAAGAAAAAACTCTCAAATGTTCATATTCAAATCGTATGTACAAAAGAAAAAACGACACTACACCACAAATCCATCTTCTGATCCTGCATGGAGTATTAGGTATATACCGGACCCCTTCACCACTTCTTTTTCTAACTGTTTTGAGAGTACCATCTTGCCAGCTTCTTCTAAAAGACCCTTTACTGTATATCCAGGTTTCGTCTAAAACCACAGCTCGTAATGCAAAGAGTGAAGTTTCGTTGTGTTTAAAGTCTCTCAAAAATTGTAGTCTTCTTTGAACTGCATAGGGCTGTTCCATTAAAAATAATCTATTGGAAACGGTGCATCTCCGCCACGTGAATTTCAGTTTCTTCAAACTGCGGGACAAAGAGGTAGCAGATATTTCTACGCCATCAAGTCGTTGAAGATTTACTGTGTAAGGAACGGAGTGTAACATTCTCACCTATAAAATCAATTCAATACCTAAGTGTTCTAGCGAACATCTTCATTCTGTGTATCGGTTCGTCATATTTACCTAATGGTAACGGGAATGACCTAAAAGGCTAAATTCATGATATGAGCGAATCGAACCATTATGCGGTAAAATTTTTAAAATACTTGTCTATTAACGGCGTTGCTGCACTGTCGACTTGCCTAAGCGTTTTTAACTTTGATTATATTTACTTCACTTTTAACACAAACTACCTAATCAACACTGGAAATCTGTCTATAACGAAAATCGTTTGACGGATTGATATTATGACAGATCAATTGGTTTATTTGTCACGAATTACGTTAATGACGTAATTTTTTTGTCTCAATCGATTTAAATGTAATGAAGAGAGAATCACATTTATGACGTCAGGTTCAGCACCAGTGAAACAAAGTATATGAGTTTTATAATTTTATTGTTTTGTATGTTGTGTGTATAATTTATTTATAGCTTGTTGAATAAAGACAATATTATTATTATTTTAAAAAAAAGAAACGGAATCGTCCTTATGGTAGTAAAATAATGCGGAAACAAGTTTAACGTTGTCCAAGTTTGTGCTATTAAGAATGCAAAAATAATAATTATTATTGCCGATCTTATTCAAAATTTGAGTAGTGATTTCATTGGAATTTACGGAATTTCAATGTTAGTGTTTTCATCTTGTGTCGGAACCCAGTTGTGTCCAGAGGGATAATTTAAAAAGAAAAAAAATTAAATTGTGTAATTTGAGCTAGCTAGGTAAGTCTCTGTTGAGTGGCATAGTGACCGGATACCATTGCGCGCAATAATTGTTTATTTCGCGCCCAACGTGGGGCCACGGCCATATGAAAGCTAACCCTGCGCGTCCTGCTCATTGTGCGCATTTAATTTTAGAAATGGGCGTTAGGTTTACGTTGCAACGGGTAGTTACGAAATCAAGACTCTGATCATACTAATAATTAATTTTTTTTTACTTAATTACAAATAATGACATTTAAAAATATAAAATTCAAAATCTACCTGCCTGATTGAAACAAGAATGACAGATGTCATTAGAATGCACGATCATCTGTTTCACTTTATCTACCCTTACGGTTAAAGTGATCACTTTATCTATCCTCATTCAAACCTATTAAAATGTCATTTTAACATATGCTATAAAATAAAAATCATTAACACCTACATGAGAAAACAAACAGTTACATACAATATAGTTCCTTGACCAAAAAATGCAAAGGGTTAAATAATCCTTGTACTAATTAATCACAATCCTAAAATAATATATCGATCCCAGCTGGAGGATTATCTAATAATTTAATCAAGTGAAGTGACCGAGATTAACTATCTAACACTCTTAAAGGAATCAGTTTATTTTGAGTGTAAAAATACAAGTATAAATTGTGCACAACTCTTGTGCAGA